CAAACAAACAAACAAACAAACAAAATATCAGTTACCAACTTCAAACCAAAGCTTTTAATTTTTCATACCACGCTTCTTCCTTTTCTAACTGTCAACCAGTTATCATTCAAGACGTCTAAGTAAACTGAATATAATATTGTCAACATGCATTATCGAACTTCTTTATATTCTAATTATAGCTATTGTCCGTTTAAAAACAATTGCAGGGGAATTTTTTTTTTAGAACAGTCCGAAAAATGATAATAAAACTATGAAACTTATTATTCTTTTCTTATTTGTTTGTAGATCATCTTTGAAATGGAAGGAAATTAAAAGATTGCCAGATGAAACTTACAACTCCTTAGTTTTGTTTCGCCCACACGATAACAAAATGTTGACTAGTTTGTGTGTTGTTATGGTGATACTATACACCGTCGTAACAACGAACGCGGTCAGTGTCTCTTATGACGAAATAAGTAAAGTGAGCAGTTACTGCTTCTCCACGCATACGTGTTTGTCAAAAATTATGGGGCCAACAGATAACGATACACTAAGTTGTGCGTGTGACAGTGAATGCACGGAGTATAACGACTGTTGTTTTGATGCTCAACCTGATAATCAACAAAACTTTACAAACCAATGGTATTGTGTTACTTTAGGAACATTTGATGGTGTATATGTTAAAGCTTCCTGTAAATCACAGTGGTCTGGAAGTGAAACGTTCCGTAAAAAATGTGAAGAAGTTACCCTATCGGATGTTCAGGATGATCCAGTAGGTCAACTTCCGGTCACCAGCCCTACCACTGGAATCTCATATCGTAACCACTACTGCGCCCTCTGCAACAACGACACTAGTCGTGACATGCAACTGTGGAAGATACGACTAGAGTGTCCATCGTTATACTTCTATAACCAATCTCGACAGAACCTAACGAAAGACTACGTGTTCGACAACCTACAATATAATGGGTCTCGATGGGGTGTCTGGCTGTACGACGATGACAGGGAACTGTACTTCTACACTTGTGATATCTTTCCTATGTTGCCTGATCAATTAAATCTCAGAGAATGTGTTCCTAATCTGATTTCAGAATGTGCAAGAAATTGGAACAGATCTGACGTCGAAGATAAATGTAGATCTTATACAGCTGTGTTATATGAACCAGTTAGAGCCTATAAGAATGGTCACTGCGCCCTCTGTAATTATGTAAACGGATTAAAACTCGGTTGTTCACAACCCGAAACACGAATTCACAACCGAGGTTTTATTCCTCGATCTTTCTCTGTTCTGCTTGATGTTAATGCTCATTCGGGTAACGTGGTGGGCAAAAAAATCCGGTGTAAAAACGATGAACACTTTGATCCATTGTTCAAAAAGTGCCGAAATATTGTTTGTGGTTTTCTTGGGTTCGAGCCTAGAAATGGTCGATGTGTAGAGATAGAAACAACAACTGCTAAAGAAATATCGAACAACCTGGTCACTGAATCTGACCAAACCGATGTACCTGACATGTATGATCGTAACCCTCTTCTGAGAATAATTAATTTAAATGGCGGCGATTCAGCTTTTACAAACGTCTCTGTATTATTACAGAACGGGTCTTACGTTTTATATTCGACTACCGCAAAGACTTCGGATGCTGACTCTCAGAACCAATCAACCATCTACAATCTGGACTTTCTGCAGTGTCCAAAAATTTCCCTCAACGAAGGCGAATACGTTATTCTAAACAACCAAAGCGTATACATACCAGAGTATGATCAACTCTACAATAAATCCGTTTATTTTTTTAAAGAAGGCAGAGTCTTCATTTGTGCCAATTTTCTAAACCAAACATCAGATTACGGAGAAAAGTTTTCCGTTTACATGGGTTACACCTCCATTGTAGGTCTTGGAATTTCAATCGTCTGCCTTATTTTTCATATTTCAATATTCTTCCTGGTTCCTGACCTACATAATTTATCTGGAAAAAACCTAGCATCCTTAGCCACTTCACTTTTGTCTGCTTATTGCTGTTTCATCATTGGACATGTCCACTCCCTATCTTCTTCAGCATGTGCTGTTGTTGGAACTCTCACGTTTTATTTCTTCCTCGCTTCCTTTTTATGGATGAGTGTACTGGCCTTTGATGTGTGGAGGTCTCTTTTGAGAGCAACTCGAGAACTCCGAGTTTCGAAAGGAAGACAGTGGCGGAGGTTCCTGGGCTATTCTCTTTATTCTTGGTTGACTCCGGTGATTTTAGTAGTAGTGACAGTCGTAATTGAACAGCAGGAGAACGTATCAAATGAATATAAACCAGGATTTGGACTCTATCATTGTTGGTTTGGTCACAAGAAAGCTTTGTCTTTGTTCTTTGTTACCCCTTTAGGTACAGTGATGTTTATGAACGTAGTGTTCTTTATCTGTAGTGCTAGGATAATTGTCAATACGTCATCTGACGTAACTAATAACCAAACTAAGTCATCTAGACAGAACTTTCGTCTGTATTCAAAACTGGCTCTTCTAACAGGTCTCACCTGGATTGTGGGTCTTCTTGCTGGATACCTTGATTATGAAAGTCTATGGTACATTTTTGTTTTGTTAAATACTTTACAAGGGCTCTTCATTTTTGTTTCTTTCTCTTGCACCAGAAAGGTTCGAACATCTCTGCAAGTAAAACTCAGATCTGTAATTTCAAAATCAGCATTTAACAGGACCCACATCAATACCACAGGGTCGGGGTCCAACTCTTTGACTGCGGAACACCCACACGAGAACAACCGCAAAATATCGTCAGACAGAAACGTAACTTGCACCCATTTTATTGGATCTTCTACTATGACGTCAAGTACAACCAATATTACTTCTTCGTGCTAACTTTTTGTTAACGAACTATATGAGAGTTGACGAGAGATAAGAATGTATTGGTACAAATATTATCAATACAACTTCTTGCGCAACTAGCTTAGATATCAAGTGCATCAAGTCATTTCTGATTTATTATTCAGACCAAGTAATGAAAGCTATTTATTAACTGCTTTTGGGCAGCTGTTGGATTAATAATGCTTTCGAAACGTTATGATATTGTCAATTATCAAATCCACATGATCCACTTTAATATTACATTTATTATTTAAATTTTGAAGTGTTCTTAACGTAAAAAAAGTGTGGATTATTAGTATTAAATATCACTTAATTTATTCATAATCTCACTGGCTCAGTTATATCTACTGTTTCTCGTCTTGAAGATTTTGGTAAAATCTTAGCTTCACCATAAGTCACTGACTTTGTTTGCATTTCGAGGACTAACTGTACTAGCCGTTCCTAATGTACCAGTGAAAGACTTAGAGGGAAGGCAGCTAGTCATCGCCACCCACCGCCAACTGTTGGGCTACACTGTTTACAATGAATAGTGCCATTGACCGTAACATTATAACACCAACCAGGATGTTTGGCGGGATGGGGATTCGAACCCGCAAACTTCGGATTTCGAGTCAAGCCGAGCCCACTGAGTTAAACAACTTATGGGAAATTTACCCTTTATATTCTGAACGTAGGCAAGTCTACGAATTGCGCCTGTGGTTTATGTATTTACTATTGTACAATATTAACCACAAGTAATCTAAATACATATTTATTTATTGTTATAAACCGTCTGTTTATTATTGATGTTGTAATATTCTTAACCTTCATGTATTTCTTGTATTGTTGCTGTGGTTTATTATTGTTATAATCCATATAATTCTTATTGATATTGTAAATTTCTTACCCTTTACGCACTTATTGTACAATTACTGTGGTTTATTATTGTTATAAACCGTCGCACCATTATTGATATTGTAATTTTCTTACCCTTTACGCACTTATCGTACAATTACTGTGGTTTATCATTGTTATAAACCGTCGCACCATTATTGATATTGTAATTTTCTTACCTTTTACGCACTTATCGTACAATTACTGTGATTTATTATTGTTATAAACCGTCGCACCATTATTTATATTGTAATTTTCTCAACCTTCACGTATTTCTTGTATAATTACTATGATTTATTATTGTTGTAAACCGTCTAGATTAAACTAAACCTATATTAAACTAAGCCTATAGATATTGTAAATAAAGTTATTTGCTTCGATGGTATTATTTACGTTTTTTGAACAGATCTTGTGATAAAAATTGTGTAATTTATATACATAATTATTGTAAATATTTTCTCTTTATCACCTCTGTATTTTGTGCATTAAACAAGCAAAACAATAATTTAAATTTGTCACATTTTTTTTGTTATAAAAAGCATTTTGAAATATTCAATATTTACATAGAATTATATTTTTAAGAATAAAAGCACAGACAACGAATCATATGACAAATGTTTTTTTTTATCACAGAATTCATTAGATTAAAAACTGCCGTTGAGCATATATTTATATAAATTACAGAATATCAAATTATCGTAACGTATGGTTCCATTTAGAGTTCGAAATTATGATCCTTTAATTTGTAAGACAACATTTTCAGGTTTTCCCCTTGTGCATAACGTGCACATTTAAAATATCTTTTATCAACTTTTAAAGTTTCTAGCGAATTCTTCATCTAACGGAACAAGTAAACCTTCTCATTCTTTATCAAAATAATAGGTAAATATTTTCAGTTCTTTATCAAAGTAAACAAGTAAATATCCTTAGATTTTTATCAAAATAAATAAGTAAATATCCCCAAACCTTTACAAAAAACGAGTAAACGTTTGTTTGTTTGTTTTGGAATTTCGCGCAAAGCTACACGAGGGCTATCT